GAAGCTATCGCAGGTGGCGACGCATCCGCAGCTGCAGTAGACCCTGAGTCTCCTGAACAGTTGGCTGCCTGGGCAGACTCCTTAGGTGACAAAGGTGACAAGGCTGCCAGTATGATGCAAGCAAGACACAGGGGAACTGCAGTAGCTTTTTTTCCTTCTGCTTTTTTTTCCGAGTGTCTTTCGATAGTGCAAAAGCATGCTTCATATAAGGCTGTGGAGAGTTGTCCAACTCGTCCTTTTTCTTCACGTTAGTTTCACTTTCACTACGGTAGAAGAAACTACAAATAGACCCTTTTTCCTTCTACTTCCACTTGATTCAAAAACTTCTACCAAAATCACGACATCAGGCCCGCAGAGAGGTTGAAGCGTTAAAGAAAGCTAGAGAAGAGGCAATAGCCGCTGGCGATACTGATGCAGCAGGAGTCGATCCGGAATCACCTGAACAGTTGGCTGCATGGGCAGACTCCTTAGGTGATAAAGGCGATAAAGCAGCGAGTATGATGCAAGCTAGGCATAGGGGATCAGCGGTATGCTGTCTGTCTTACATCTTAGGACGAGTATGCACTTTCTTAGTGTTAGAGCAGTAACATTCACATGCATGATGTTGTTGGTTCTACTTGCAGACGCGAAAAAGGCCGTCCAAATCTTCAGACTTCGCTGTTTCTATAGGATGGATGATGTTCTGCATCCTGTAGTTTGATTTTTTACAACTTACAGTCCTAGTCCTTGCAAGTGCTAGAAATCCAAATCAGGCGCGCAGAGAAGTAGAAGCACTCAAAAAAGCGCGAGAGGAAGCTCTTGCAGCTGGGGATACTGATGCAGCAGGAGTTGACCCGGAATCACCCGAGCAACTACTGGCTTGGTCTGAATCCTTAGGTGATAAAGGCGATAAGGCTGCGAGCATGATGCAAGCAAGGCATCGAGGCTCAGCGGTACTTTATCAGTTATGCGTGCGTCGTGAGTGTGCTGTATTTTGTGATACTAGAAGAAGCAAGATTTTAGTCGAAAACGAAATGGAACTTGAAAGAATATTATCAAGAACCCAGATTTAAGTCAGAATATCTTCTCCTAATCTGAAGACGAAAGCTTACTCTTCAAAAGAAAATCCTTATCCAAATGAATGTCAACCACCAGGCTCGCAAAGAAGTTGAAGCGTTGAAGAAAGCTAGAGAAGAGGCAATAGCCGCTGGCGATACTGATGCAGCAGGAGTTGATCCAGAATCACCAGAACAGCTGATGGCGTGGTCTGAATCCTTAGGGGAAAAAGGCGATAAAGCCGCGAGTATGATGCAAGCTAGGCATAGAGGGACGGCAGTACAACTTCTTCTGCTTTTTATTTGCTACGAATCAATCCACATCCAGGTCCACACCTTGTTTGCCTACTTAGATGGACAGCTATCCTCATCTCTGACACGTTCTTATGATCACACTCTCCCTCCTGTTTGATGTCACTCAGGCACGACGAGAAGTCGAAGCGCTCAAGAAGGCTCGAGAAGAAGCTATCGCAGGTGGCGACGCATCCGCAGCTGCAGTAGACCCTG